ATCAAATAAGATTATTAAGTATTTGTATTAGGAATCTTATTTGATTCTATTTAATTAAGTTTTATATGTATATGTATATATGTAATGTAGAAGGAAGAGTTTTGACCTTGAGAATATGTGGGGACAACGAGTTGGGGCCTCGAGAGGAGAACATTGCGACCCTGGGCGAGGCTACCTTGTTGATGATATCAGTTGGCGAGCCCAAACGTGCCAAGGGAGTCCTAAAACAATGTAGAATTTACAACTTGTTCACTTGTTTTAAAGTTATTTAAGTATTTGGAAAGAATGCACAGGGGAAAAACCATGAGCTAGCTAGTTTTTTTCTTTTTCCTCTTACCGGGATTGTCTTATGTAAGAAAGTATTCGAGTCCCCGCCTCGAGATTGACCTTGACACACGCGATGTGGCACTGGACATCGGTATCATCTCGGGCTTGGGCATATATCAGACCAACTCCACCTGCTTTGGCGACTGCATACGATGCCGATGTCATATCTTGCATCGTGCTCAGAATCTGGAAGCATAGTGCTATTTTTCCATTGACTGTGCGATCTTCACTCACGCCCCAACAACTTAAAAATGAAAAGAAAAGAAAAAAGAAAAAGAAATAAAGATAAAAATCTTAGGAAATAATTAGTTAAGGCAATGAGCAAATATAATTACATCCAACACCCAAATTTTCAAAAGCAAAGGGTGCGTGTGTAACCAAGGTTACTATTCGTCAATGACTAAAATGTAATTTCTACCTAGTGGATGATATCAAAACTAAAGAAGGAATGACTGGCTTACACATTGTTCTGGAACTGGCCTGTGGAATCTGGATAGGTTATTTCCGAAAAGCCAACCGGGACCTTACCGGTGTACCATGACTGCCCATGCATGTATTCACCAAATTATTAAGGAATTGAAGATTAAAACATGTGACTTCTTATTTAAAACTTAAATAAAACATAGATACATACCCAGAGGGTTGTTGAGTTGTCTTCAAGTGAAATCCGTGCTAAGAAGCGTCTATCGGTCATGCACGCTCCTACTGTGATGAGCCACGGCGCAACGTTAATGACCGAGTATGACTTGGGGCCATCGTTCCCTGCGGACGCCACCACGGTTATCCCACGGGGTACTGCATGGTATGATCCTATCGAGATCGAGTCACGGGGGTCACCGTCCGGGAACAACGGGACATGTCCTCCAATGGAGATGCTCACGATGTCCACCCCATCACAGATTGCCATGTCAAATCCCTTTAAAATATCAGCATCGTCACACTGTCCAATCCAGCAAACTTTATAGATCGCAAGGCGGGCCTGCGTTGCTCCTCCACGGGCCACTCCTTGAGCGTGGCCCTCGCTGCTCGCATTAAGGACCACAGAACCCCCGGCCGTGGAGGCAGTGTGGGTCCCATGACCCATTGAGTCACGTGCCGATTGGAAACAGCCGTGTAAGTGGGGTGCAAGCCCCGCCCCAATGGAGAAGTAACGAGCCCCAATCAGTTTCTTATTGCAATGCGACACATTGAATTGTTCCCCGCTTTGGCAAATACCCCTCCAACGCGTCGGGATGGGGCCCATTTTGTCATCATTGAAGCTCGGGGACTCAGGCCAAACTCCTGCCAATATTGTTTATGTACAAACACTCTTCAATTTCCTTTTAATCAATGTTATTAAAAACGGACCGGACCGACCGGTCCAACTGGTTAAACCGCGACCAGTCACATGTCCGGTTCATTGTTGAAGCCCATTTTTTAGTTGACCCATTCAGAACCGGGAAAACCGCCGACCCGGATGACCCGGCTTGAACCGGCCGGTTTTTGGGTTTAGATGAAACACTTATTAAAAATTAAATGCATAGGCCAAGTTTCGGACCCTTGTCCCAAGGCCTCTCAAGATGGAATTTATCCACCTGATGAGCTAATTAATACGTAGTACTTGTTGGGATTTTAAGCGCGTAAGATACCGAAAAATATTGAGAACACCAGAAAAATGAGAGAACAAACACAAGAAGAATATATGAGAGAAAAATTATATCTCCACTATTTCAGGACAATATACAAAAAACTCTCCCCTGTTTACAAGACTAAATTTCAGACACTCATAAACAGATCTTTCCACATCCTATGCCCGGATGTATTTTTCCGAGTAACTAAAACCAGTTACTCCCTACACTCACCAAGACTCCTTGGATTTTCCCGGTGGTATTCTTGTGTAGAATTCCTCCCATGCTTCTCTCTCTACATTGGTGGTGTGTAAAACCCACACACACATCTAGGTTGAGTCTCACTCCTTTTAAAGCACCTCATCAATTCTCTTAAGCTTCAAAATAATATTCACTCAACTATGTGCAATGTACCCAGGAGATACAATCCATTTGTACCAATCCAAAGAGATAGAAACAAAACCAAAAACAACTCTTCACATGCATGTTGTACACTTGTATGTCCAAGTGCATGTCACTTTTCTTTTACTTTTTTTCTTTTTCTTATTTTTCTTTCTTTTGAATATTTAATCAAATTCTCAACAGTACTAAAGTTGTTTTATATCCAATGCAAGGCAGTACATCTTACTTCTTTAAAATGTTTAGATAATACATAGTAACCTAAAAATAATCCTATTTATTAAATATAGAGAATTCTCTATATGTTTATCAGTTTATCATAGTTACGTTTACTCTTTATTTATTTTATGAAATCTTAAATTAGTTCAAAGCTAAGAGTTTGTATTATTTACTTTTTATTTAAGTAATTATAAAACCTATATTTAAAATATTACATAGTATTTTCATCTTTAAAATATGTATTTCATTTTTAATTTTTTCAAAAATTTTAATCAACTAAATATAAGGTTTAAAATGTCAATAGTATATAAGAAAAGAATATGTAGTCTTTATATTTTTGAAAAAACGAGTACTTCTAAGATATTCACTATTAACTTGTACTCCGTAATAATAATGAAAATAATAGAATAAAAATAAAACGTGTAAAATAGAATGGAGTATATGTCCAATGAAACTAAGATCTAGATGTAGAAGTAAAAAAATATATATTAAAATACTTTTATTTACTATATATATCGTCTAATAATATACGAAGTAATATAAAATATAATTATTTACATATATTTGACCGGGTCGTTGACCCCGAGTTGACCGGTTCGACCGGTTAGCCCTTGACCCACTTCCTCCTCTGGGTCGATGCCCGGTCCGGTTTTCAAAACATTGAATTGCTTTTAATAAGAAAATAGTTTTCAAAATTGTTTGCTTGCTTTTTTAGTGTAAAAAATACCTGTGTCTAAGAGTCCAATTATAGTTCCCTCCCCCATTTTTCCATAGCGCGGTGGCTCATCTCCCATTCCAAGTGGTATTCCCAGAAAATCCCAACTCCTAGTCGTGTGAAGCTTGAGCCTTCGGGTCTTCATCACAGGGATGACTTCCGGCATTGCTATACATAGTAGGAGTAGTAGTAGAAATAATTATATTATAATAATAATAAATATTATAATAATAATCAGGGAATTCATCAGCCCGGACCGAAACAGAAAAAAGGCCCTAAAAATCTTTTATTTAATGGTCTAAAAAATTTGCATATGTAAACTAATTATATCTAAATTATAATTAACGCAATATTATTAAAAGAAAAAAAATAAAGGACAAAATTAAAGTATTATAATTACATACCGTAAAAGCTAGCCGAGGATTCGAGAAGTTCTCCTTGAATTGCATTCTTGAGAGCAAATTGGTTGATCACATCTTCACAATCTATGCTCTCTAAGATTATATTCTCGATAGCTATTACCGCCAATCCACTAAGTCTATCTTGGGACATTGTAGACCGTAAGTAAGATTTCAAGAGCTTCAATTTGAAAAAACTTCTCTCTGCAGATGCCACTGTTAGTGGAACAGTCAACAAAATTCTATATGCAATACAGGCATTCTGGTAACAGCCTAATTCTTTTAAATGCTTCAAAACATCTATGGGATTGCTAAATTCACTGGTTTGAAATAAAATTCAAAATCATAAATTCTACTAAGTAAAATTAGGAATAAAAAACTGAAAAAAGCAAGCAAATTCGTTTTTTTAATATCAATTCGTTAATTTTTCCTTTTGTAATTTTTTTTTATTTTTCAGTTTTAATTTTTTTATAAATCATAAATTCATATTATTTCAACAATTTTTCAGTTTTTAATTTTTTTTCGGTTTTCGGTTTTTTTAATATAAATATATAATTATCATAAATAACAAATTCAAAACAATTCATCCAAATCAAATAAATACTCCCTCCGTCCCATGAAACATGGGACATTTGTTTTTTAGGAGGGATTTAAGGGAGTGTATTTTGGTATTGAATTTCCAAAAATGTTCTTTGATGTGATGGGTAAAAGTATGATTTGATGTATAGATTATTAGGAAAAAGGTATGATGTGATAGTTAGGGTATGAAAAAGTAAAGGGTAAAAGTGACTTTTTAATAGAAATGAGAAATGTTTTGTGGGACGGATAAAAAAAGAAAGGGGAAGTGTTTCACGGGACGGAGGGAGTAGCATATAGAACTATTCATTCATTCTATTTCAAAGAATGAAATTAGAAAAGATTTCAAATTAAAAATTAATAACTAATCCTAGATTTTAAATCTAAATAATGAAACAATGAAAGAAAATTAAGATTTAAGAAATAAAAATTACAAAATTGGAAAGGAAAGGCTATGAATAATTACCTGGAGGCGTGGAGATCGGCGACTAGGCGTCCGGCGACCGGCGGTGGAGGCGACGACTCAATCGGCACTTGCACGTTTCGTCTTTGGACTCTGGTTTCTTCGTCACTTGACTGACTTCTTCCGTTCCGTTCTTTTTTTGGTCTCACATTGGTGGACTACTGGACTAGCATGGGCCTGGGCTGATATACATATATATATATATATATATATATATATATATATATATATATATATATATATATATATATTACTAAAAAAAATTCTTTGTGCCCCCTAAATATTTAGGCCCGGCCCGGACGGACACCTTGTCCCCTTATGGGCCGGCCCTGATAATAATAATAATACTCCGTAATAATAATAATATAGTAATAATAATAAAAATGTTTATAGATGTGTTCACAAAAAATTAAGGGAAAGGAAAAGAGCTTGCCTGCTATGGTCTCAACATGCACCTCACTCAATCGAGCCGCAAAACCGGAGAAGCCATGCTTGTAAGAGTAAAGCAGACCTTCACGTGGAGCCAATGGGCTGCCTAGGACATCAATAAGGAGCTTCATGTGTGATGCTTTGGTGGCGGTAGGATCCTTAGAACAATGGCCCATGTAAACCACGTAGACCTCATTGTTTTCCGGCTTGTTGGAAGGAGTATTATTCATGTTCATAAGCGTGAGAGATTGAACATGAATTAAGTGTAACACTAGTAGGATAGTGTAAAAAGAAGGCCTCATGTCGATGAAATGCATGAATAAAAAAGGGCAACAAGTGTTCGTTTATTTAAAGATGTACGTAATGCATGCTATGCCTTCTTCATCATGTAGGTGCTGCTCTTATATATATACACTGCACACTTCTCCAATTATTGAGGATACCCTAACCATAATGAGTTAAGGGTGGGTAAACTTTTTACCCTTTCATTACTCTTTTGATATTATTATTATTAGTATTACTCCGTATTATTATTATTATTATTATTATTATTATTATTACTATTATTACTATTATTATAATTATAATTATTATTATTATTATTATTATTATTATTATTATTATTATTATAACAATGTCACCCTTTGTTTTGTAAAATTTTATAATTTTTTGATATACAATTTTAGGGAGTTTAATATAATTTTTTAATAATAATTTTTTAATATATAATACGAGTATATGATTTTTTTTCATATAAGTATCTACTCCGTATTATATTTCTTTGATCCCTTATTCCACCTTTCCTATTAGGGAGTTAGCATCTTAAATAAAATCATGAAAGCACATGCTCATATTTTATAGTAAAAAAACATTTTTCTGTTTTTGACAAGTTTGTTTTTGTATTCATCCTACCCATTAAAGTTGGCATAGTATCTAAAACTTTCTAGTGTCATGTGACTTACTAATACGTACTATATTAGCTTTTTCACAAAATTATTACTGCCTTCGTCCTGTATTAGTGTTTCACAATTCACAAAAATAAAAGAGGAATTAACTTAATTAAATAGCACTAAAACATAATGACTTTCTCTAAATAGCACCACATATGTTTTTCTTCCCAATGTAGCATTTTTAGTCATTATTCAAGTAAATATTCAAAATTACTGGATATTATGCACATTATTAAGTGCTATTTAAGGAATAAATCAATTTAAATGCTATTTAAAAAAATGACTTAAGTTTTAGTGCTATTTAGTGCAAATATTTCAAAATGAATTTTACGCAGGGGATTAGGGGTAGAAATTATTAATTTTACGAACTGAGTATCGAAGATTGGTAGTGGCTTCCGTGGCCATTGAACCAAGGCGTTTTAAACAGTGTGAAAAAGTCTGGGGCTAAAAAAACCAAAAACAAAAAAACAAAATAAAAATCTTTTGTAAAATAAGTTTGGAGTACCAGCTTTGTTTTGAGATCGGAAAAATCTTTTGAAAATATTTTATATAATAAATGTAATAAAAATATTTTTGTATCGATATCTAATATCATTTTTATTTAATTTCGAGTTAAAGTTTGCCAATTTTTTTTTAAAAAAGTCAAAAGTAGACAACTACTCTGTGACGGAGGGAGTACTCCGGTTAAAGAAATAGATAAACAAAAATAAATTAATAGATGTGTTACTAGAAGAGAGAAATTCAAAAAAATGGAAATTAAATAAAGAAATAGATAAACAAAAAAATTAATAGATGTGTTACTAGAAGAGAGAAATTCAAAAAAATGGAAATTAAATAGTCATTTTCTCTCCCGTTTAAGTTCTGGTAATTGCATGTGCAAAAAGATGGGGTAAAAGTCAATGATTTGCAGGCTCATGAGAGCAGTAATTTTCATATTACCATTTCTATTCATTTCATATTTGACTGTATTTTCCTATAAGAGTTTTCCACAGAAGTGTGATTTTGACCTTCACTCTTACCTCTACAGGTCTACATCATTCTCAACACCCACATGACTCATTTTTAAATTTTTACCCCAACCACGACCCATTTATATTGCATTTAACAATATCATTAAAAATATTTTCGAAATAACATGCACCATCACTGTTCAGATATTAAAAAGATTTTTCCTTTTCTTTTTCTATTTATTTTATATTTTTTCCGTCAAAACTGTACTTGTACTCATGACTTCTTGATCAACAAAATTTTGATACTATGTAAAGGAACCAACTCAACCAAAAATGCATGGGTATGGTTGTAGTTGCACATGAGCACATGAATGATATTTTAAACTCAACAAAGCATCAACTATGAATTTATATTTTTGTTCGAATCATTTGTTTTGCTTAAGTATTTAATAGTTAGACGATAGTTTTTTTAACGTATTTGGACATTATTTACTATTATGGACTCCGATATTCACTTTCACATTTTTTTATAACCATTTTAATTTTTTATTAACGGTTTTGGGTATTTGGTCAGTCTTCGGATAAGTAACCGCAGCCGGATATATCCAAAACTGGAAATTATCCGTTTGGTTTCGGATATAGAAATGTGAATATCCATCGGATACGGATACGAATTTGGATATCTCAAAATTTAATCGGATCCTGTTATTGTATATCCGTGGCAGATAGTGTTTGTTTACAACCCTCTTTAGAACACATGAAAATAGTAAAAGTGAATAATGAACTTTCTTTGTAGAAATACAAGATAAAAATTAAGTTTAGAACGACCCCCCAAAAAAAGTTAAACTTTATTTTTAAAATGGAAAATAAATTATAGCTACAAAAAAATTATATTATAAATTAAATTTATTACCATCCAGCAGCAGCAGGGGGCTAGGGGAGATGCTAAATATTGAGAGGGTCATCATGTGTATCGCAACCTAGGCCAGTTCTAATGTGCCTTGAAACTAAAGTCGTAACTGTGGGAGGGAGATTTTGCCAATTAGGGCTAATTTGAGCATATACCCATTCTCATCTCTAGACCAAACTATAAGAATTGAGTATTATTTGGTGCAACAAATTACCTGATTAATTCTGCCACATGAATGTGTCATCTCATCCAAGTGATGACTGGAGAGGACCCAAATGTCCCTCCACTTCCCCCATTCCAATACTCAAGCTGTGTTATCAATATAATATGCAATAAACCAAGTCAAAAAAAAAAAGATCAATTAGTATATCTACTGAGACTAGAAAAAGACTTGGAATTTCTGCATTTGATTTCCAATTCATTTGGGAAGGACAACTAAGAAATTTCAAAATGGAAACATGGTCATACTGTCTCGGAATAGATGCAGGCATCCTTGTTTACATTTTTCTTGCTACCCACCCAAATCACAGCTCCTACTGTTTCATCATCGGTTTAATCATTTCCTGCACCCAGCACTTCCAGCCTTTATGTTTCCTCACTACCAGTGTCAGTGGCGAACCAGTACAGTAATTGGGTCTCCAAATTGTCCATGCAAACTCCCCCGTATCAATTACTATGGTTTCTGCATCAAAGTCCATAACTTGGGTCTCACAATCACCGTTGTAAGGCACAGAGCAGTACAATAAAAGCTCATCTGCAATCAGGCATCAGTGCACAACTGATAATCAACAAGGATACACTTGAAAACTCACTACTCTCCACTCTACTTTTTTCCTAATCTTCTCTTGATCCTCCCAACGGAGTGATTCTAATCCTTCAATATCATCACTGCTAAAACATAATAAAAGGAATCAATTGTAAATCACCAAAACATGTAAACTGTGCAACTTTCTTTTCTATTACGACAAAACCATGACCAAAGTACAGAGTGGGATTTCATGTGCTTTTCCTTTCTTAAGATACAGCTAGCATGATTCCACATCTAAATCCAGGAATAAAACAATATAGATATGATGCAATCAGAAAATGAAATAAATTGTTTATACCATATTACCATGCACTTTCTACTTCTTTCCTCATACTACTTAAAAGTCACAATGACTAAAAGGGTACTAACTTTGAAAACAAATATTCATCTTTCTCATAAGAGATAGATCAAGCTAAAGGATTAGGATTATATTCACATCCAGCAGAAGTAAACACATACAAAGACGCATCAAACCATTGATCACGCACAACGTCCTAACAATCGACACTAAACAACCGCCATTTCTTGTGAATCATTTTAAAATTATATACCTACATATAGTTCTAATTCACTGCTCCTACCCTAACTTGTCTAAAAAAACACTTCACAAAATAGAAGTGAAGCAAATCAAACACATAAAATGATGCATGTTACCTTTAAGATGGAACCCTTTCTTTTAAAACCCACCAATGATTTCACCAACAAAAACCAAACTATGAATTTCAACGGAACATGAATTTATGCCTAAAATTATTATTACAATGCTAACCTTAATTTGAATATGATGAATGAAAAAGCATTAAATGCTCAATTTTTTTTTTGTATTGTGGGGGCAGTAATGTTTTCTTTTTGTAATGTGTGTTCCTGAACAAACAAAGACGCAGAACAATTTGAATTTATAACAAGGCTGCTAAAAGAGAATTGGTATGGTGCTCTATTAAGGCCATTGAGAGCGAAATAAGAGGTGCTTAGAGTATAATGAAGATTTTAATTGCATCCTTAATACAATGGACAGAATAGGAGGACAACCAGTTGGCTTGGATGAGATTCAAAGTTTCATACAATGTGTGTATGAGTGTGGACGTACCAAAGGAGTTTCCTATGAAGGGAACTTATTACACCTGGACAAGGACACAGTCACACAGAATATACCTCAAAATTGATAGAGCTCTTTGTAACACAAATTGGATGTTGAGATTTAATACTACTCCGTATAAGGGAGAGGGTTTGTCTGATCATACATGCACCCTTAATTATCAAGGCATGGAAAGGAAAGTCAGAAGATTCATGCACTGTAATATGTGGTCTTTGCCTCTTTGGATCCTAAATTTCCTAAAATTGTGAAGAGCTTTAGGGACCAAGAGATAACTGGTAAACCTATGTACCAGTTATGTAATAAGTCGAATGCTCAGATGCCTCAATAGATAATAGTATGGTAGTATCCATAAAAAATGTGATAGCGTTAGAGAGAAGCCTCAAGAAGTTCAGGCTAAACACACACCCACATTGTTACAACATACAATTTTAGTAGGTTTCATTTGTACAAGCTCCATGGATAAAATCACAGCTGAAAGAAACTAGAACAACACAAAATCAGCCTGGTTGAACTTAGATTCAATTTTATGGATATCCCTATTGGCAAAAGCTATATGAATATCGTATTTATATGCAATTTTCCCCTCGGTATCAATTTTTTGGGTTTCCGCATCAAAGTTGGGTGTCAAAATAAGCGTCCTGAGATCATCACTCATCAATGCACTAGAGATAAACAACACACAGAAATTGCAACACAAAAAACTAAACAAGCACGCAAAATGCGATTCAATGAGTAGATCTCCACTTACCAACAATTAGAAGGCGAAGAAGAGGGGGACAAGTAATGATCGAGCAATTGGGTGTCTCCTACAATGCCGAGACTGAAGCTCTCGTGCTTCCTGGGCACGTAAATTGATTTGATTTGATCAATACCGAGGCTCAAAGATTTAGACTTACTTATTTTGATTTTTGACATTGATGACCAATTGATGACATCGAATCAAATTTAGGAACGAAATTACCAATTACGTCAGTGGCGTGAAAGAGTTGAAGGGATGTCTCCAAAGTAGTTTTGGGGTTATTTGCGGAATAGGGTTGAAATTCCCTCCATAAACATTTTAGAAATAACCATAGTTTTAAAAACCGGACTGCACCGGCCGGTTCGGACCGTAAACCGGTGAACCGGTGGTCCAACCGATCTGCTCCGGCCCATTAGACCGTAACATGCTTCGAACCGGCTGAACTGGTAAGAACCGGCCAGTCGGACCGGTCTGCCTAGTTTTTTTTTTGATGATTTTTTCTAAAACATGCCTCCATGGGGGTTTGAACCCAAGACCTCTTAGACATTTGGTTGAGCTCCTAACCATCCAAGCAATGGTGCTTTTTGTTATTTCAAATAACTTTTGAAATGAGAGAGGTATTTGTGTCTATTTTCAAAACTACAAAAGACATTTGAGTTATTTGGCTCGGAAGTTACGGACAATTACTCAATAAATCTACTTTTTTGTCATGACAAACTATATGTTGCTATTTAATACGTGGAAAATTAGCATCGATTGAAAATTTTGATTTGTGATAATGTTAAAATATAAGAAATCTGTCTTGGACCACAACCATAAGCTTGAGCTTTTGATTGAGTTGGTTCTTTGACATGGTATCAGAGCCTTCTAAGCTAAGAGGTCACGAGTTCGAAACTCATCGCCACCCAATTTTATCAAATTAAGGTTTCACGTGCAAAACTCGAAAAAAACTATGCTTGCACGTGAGGGGCGTGTTAAAATATAAGAAATCTGTCTTGGGCCACAACCATAATCTTGAACTTTTGGTTGAATTGATTTCTTGACAGATAAAGAAAAGACATCATCGAATCAAAAATTAATAAGAATATCTTTGGGGGGGTTCTTTGGGGACATCGTAGCCAAGATACGGCTACTTCACTAAATGACTTGTTTGAAAAATGAAGCAACACCTTTCTAAGTGAGGAAATATATTAGAACTTTGGTTAAATAAAAGGATTGAAAGAGAAGCAGTCTAGGAGATAGTGAAATGTGACGCTGGTGGATGGCCATTGTTTTAAATTAATTATATTTTGACGAAATTATTTATTTAAATTACAAGGATGTTGGATATTATTTTTAAAGGCTTCTGCAACATTTGTTTTATCTACTCCAATTAAACTATGATTTGGAAATTGAACGTGGTCAATTATATATATCATTTTATTAAACTCCAATTAAGTATCCCTCAAATTGTTTTGGAAAAAGGAAAGAGTTTGTGGGACAAGAAAAAAAGAAAAAGAGGGAGAATTTTTTAGGAGGGAGAGAGTATACATCAAGTAACGTATATGATCTTAGCTTGTGGTTATAGGAAACAATAGAAATAAATTTAATGCATGCGTTTGCAAAAAAATTAATGTATGCAAAATATGCTTTCAATCTCGACACACGTAAAAGTGTGTGTTTATGTGTGTATACACAGTACTATATATATCTGTGTGTGCATGTGTGGCTTGTAAAGATCGAAAAGGAAGAGTGAAGGAGATCGAAATTAAATAAACATACAATCTATATCTACGAAACAATTCAGATAGATACATATGGCCAAGGAGGCAGTGTACGTCGTCGCGGTTTTGCTCATCTTTCAATTTGCTTCTTCCTGTTAGTGAATAATCATCTGTCACTCCTTTATAGCTATAAGAAACAAGATATTGTTGTTGTTGTTGTTGTTGTTAATTACTTCTCTATTTTATTTTTTTTATAACTTTTTTTATTTTTTATAAATATTATTTTAGGTACAGCAGCAGCAGGGGCATTGTCACCAGGGGGGATGAAAGGAGAAGGGGGTTTGGGAATGCGATGCGATTATGATGATCACAAGTGTCCCCAACAAGTGTGTAAAAATATACTAGGTTACACGGGTGCCTTAGGTTGCGTGGATGGTTTTTGCGAATGCATGGCGTTACCCAGGCAATGCGATTATGATCAGAATTGTCCCCCTGAAGACTGTCTTATAAAAGGCAGTGTCACGGCTTGCATGGGTGGTTATTGTGCCTGCTTGTAGTAAAACTATTGGAAACTTCAAAAAGAAAGGACAAAAATAATGTTGTTATATTCATTCTCATTTTTAATAAAATTTGCTCTTTAATTTTTATAGGCTCTAATCCATGATTGCTCTTTAACACATCTTCCAGCTTCTTCTTGTTCTTTCTAGTTCTTTTTTAGTTTCATACAATTTTTTATAATTTTTTCCAGTTTTTTCTAGTTTCTTTCAGTTTCTTCCTATTATTTTTATTTTTTTCAAACTCTTTTTACTTTCCGGCCAATTATTCTAAAAACAATATGTTATTATTATTATTACACCTATTATGTTCATAACTATAATTTATAAATTATTTCATTTTTTTATCTCATTATTTTTATGATACACATTGATTATTATTTTTTATTCAACTTTTTAATATAAATAATGTACCGTTTTAATATATTAATCTACAAGATAAAATAGAAAATGAGAGAAAAAAACATTTTTTATGTTTGATTAGAGAGAAAAAGAAAAGAAAAATGGAATAAAAAGAAAATAAGAAGATTAATTGGTAATTTCATTCCTAAAAACATCATGAAATGATAGTATATAATTTTCAAAAAATTATTAGATCTCAAACGTGTGTATAAATAATACTCCGTATACACTAACCATTTCTTAATATTGACTTTTGACTTAAAAAAACGTGTATGTTTAGCTATTTAGTTTCCAGAAAAAATAAAAGAGCATTTTAATTTAGGTGTTTAACCTTTTAACATCTTGTATGGATATAGCTAGTAGGTTAGAGTTTAGCTTTAAATTCTTCTCATTTTCACTTTTACGAATCTTAAAAAATACTGGAAAGTGAAAAACTTATGGTTAATATTGGTTAAGATGAATTCGAAAAATAATCAAAGTTGTGCGTGTTAAATTTTTTGAAACCATAAAGATTTTAGAAATAACTTTTGAAACAAGAGAGAGGTATTTGTGCCTATTTTCCAAACTAAAAAAGACATTTGAGTTATTTGGCTTGAAAGCTACGAACAATTACTCAACTAAATCTATTTTTTTGCCATGACAAATTATATGTTGCTGTTTAATACATGAAAAATTAGCATCGATTGAAAATTTTGATTTGTGATAAAGAAAAGACATCATCGAATCAAAAATTAATAAGAATATCTTTGGGGGGATTTCTTTGGGGGACATCGTAGCCAAGATACGACAACACCTTTTCTAAGTGAGGAAACATATTAAGAACAATGGACATCCACCAGCGTCACATCTCACTGTCCCCAAGGCTGCTTATCTTCCAATCATTTTTTTTACTTCAAAAAAAATGATTGGAAAAGAAGCAGCCTAGGGGACAGTGAGATGTGACGCTGGTGGATGGCCATTGTTTTAAATTAATTATATTTTGACAAAATTGTTTATTTAAATTACAAGGATGTTGGATATTGTTTTTAAAGGCTTCTGCAACATTTGTTGTATCTACTCCAATTAAACTATGATTTGTTCTTAAATAAATATAAATGAATGTTTTATTTTAAATATTTTTAAATATTGTAAATGTGAATATCAAATTAGTAGCAACCCGATTCGCTAACTTGTTGGTTCGAGTTACGCGGGTTGCATGTGTTAAAAAATATTATTATTATTATTATTATTATTATTATTATTATTATTATTATTGTTGTTGTTGTTGTTGTTGTTGTTGTTGTTGTTGTTGTTGTTGTTACAATAAAAATTATTAAGAATTAGTAGGACTAAAAGTGGTTTTTTAATAGAAAAATGAAAGAGTTTGTGGAACAAGAAAAAAAGAAAGAGAAAGAATTTTTTAGGAGAGAGAGAGTATACATCAAGTAACGTATATGATCTTAGCTTGTGGTTATAGGAAACAATAGAAATAAATTTAATGCATGCGTTTGCAAAAAATTTAATGTATGCAAAATATGCTTTCAATCTCGACACACGTAAAAGTGTGTGTTTATGTGTGTATACACAATACTATATATATCTGTGTGTGCATGTGTGGCTTGTAAAGATCGAAAAGGAAGAGTGAAGGAGATCGAAATTAAATATACATACAATCTATATCTACGAAACAATTCAGATAGATACATATGGCCAAGGAGGCAGTTTAGGTCGTCGCGGTTTTGCTCATCTTTCAATTTGCTTCTTCCTGTTAGTGAATAATCATCTGTCCCTCCTTTATAGCTATAAGAAACAAGATATTGTTGTTGTTGTTGTTGTTGTTGTTAATTACTTCTCTATTTTATTTTTTTTATAACTTTTTTTATTTTTTATAAATATTATTTTAGGTACAGCAGCAGCAGGGGCATTGTCACCAGGGGGGATGAAAGGAGAAGGGGGTTTGGGAATGCGATGCGATTATGATGATCACAAGTGTCCCCAACAAGTGTGTAAAAATATACTAGGTTACACGGGTGCCTTAGGTTGCGTGGATGGTTTTTGCGAATGCATGGCGTTACCCAGGCAATGCGATTATGATCAGAATTGTCCCCCTGAAGACTGTCTTATAAAAGGCAGTG